CCTTCCCTCCCACCCTCCCTCAGCGGGAGACAAGCAAATTCTTTCCACCCTCCTCCTCCCCCAACGAAACCTTCCCAATACAGATCCCCCGAAAATTGAGTCTTGTGTGAGACGCAACACTCAGCGTTCATAGTTAAGGTATTGTAGTGCAAGTGATCAATAAAATGTGTCACATCATGCCAATATGATTGCAACGCGAACTTCCGAGACTGTCGAGCGTGCTATTCCGTCTTACCCCCTCTTCTTGATTCGCCGGATGCCTTCAGTTCCGTGATCATAAGAAAGAGAGTGAATTAAAAATGTGTCAACCCTTCGTGGCTGACGCACTGTACTCACAATGAGGAGATCTTATGAATAAATTCGGATGGTTGGTCGTGACTCTGGGCAACATAACCAACTCAACCCGGCAAAAAAGGAGGAATCCAAATTCAAGAAAAATTGAATTAAATTGAAAGAGCGTCGGTAGTATGATGGATGTTTTGCATAATTCTCTACTACACCTTTGTCCATTACTGGCATTCATTAAACATGTATTGAAGGCTTGAAATACTTCAGAGAAAAAATCACACAATTATCGGTGGCCTGATAATAATTCTTTATTCCTACTTTCAGACACCAACATGGCTTATGATCATGTTTTAAGCCAGCTGGGCGACTTTGGTCGATATCAAAGGAGAATTTACATCCTCCTTTGCCTTCCTGCAATATCATGTGCCTTTCACAAACTGGCATGGGTTTTCTTGGGAGCCAAAGCACATCACAGGTAAGACATCAACAGAAGAAACGTTTATGGTTGGCTGGATATATGTTTCATTGTCAAGTTTTATTTCAGATGTCAGTTACCATTTGAGGAGGCCAATGCTACATACAGTAGCCTCTCAGTGTCAACTTGGAATATGTCACTTCCATGGGATTCTCAGTTAGGGAATTATTCTTCTTGCGCTCGATATGATGCCAACTTTACTGACGATTATTTTCAAAGTATGCAACCAGCAACCCAAACTGTACCATGCAGCAGCTGGATCTATGACCATTCTAAATATGAAAGTAGTGCTGTCATGGAGGTAAAGGACGCTTTTAAATATTTCTTAAGCTGTAACAATTCTAGAGTTTTCAAATCCATCTACTGTTTTTAGTGGAACCTTGTTTGCAACAACGCATGGCTCAGGGCTACTGCTGACGCTCTCTTCATGGTTGGAGTTCTCCTAGGATCCATCATATTTGGAGATCTTTCTGATAGGTCATACATTTAAATTGGATACATATTTTTGGAAAATAAGAATTATTGTGTTTAAACTGATTTTTTTCTTATTTAGATTTGGCCGACGTCCTATTTTCTTTGCATCCTTAGTCCTTCAACTTATTGGAGGTATTCTGGCTGCAATTGCACCAGAATATATTACATTTGTCCTCGCTCGAATGGTAGTTGGAGCTACTTCATCAGGAGTGTTCCTAGTGGCTTATGTAATAGGTGTGTCTTGACAACTGGTGCAATATAAATTTAACTCAAAAATGAAGTATATTAGTATATTAATAATCAAATTTTCTTTTAAAACTTTCTCAGCTTTGGAAATGGTAGGTTCTAAAAAGCGGTTGATTGCTGGTGTTGTGTGTCAGATGTTTTTCTCAGTTGGGTACATGCTCACTGCATTTTTGGCATACATGATCAGAGATTGGCGATATCTTCAACTTGCTCTTACTTTACCTGGTGTTGCCTTCATGTGTTACTGGTGGTTAGTACCAAGCCACAAATTCAGGTTCTCTTTTTAAATGTCTGAAGGTTGTTTTCTACTTTATTCTGTACTGTTTCCAGGTTAATACCTGAATCAGCCCGCTGGTTGCTCACAAAGAACCGTAAGGAGGAAGCTATACAACTGCTACTCAAAGTTGCCAACGAGAATAAAGTAAATATAACTGCTGAAAGAATTCAAGAGCTTCTTGACCAGGAAGAGGAGGAGACACCAGAAACTGAGAAGGAAATGAAAAATATGGAATCTGGAAGCCCATTAATGAACAAAGAACTCACACAAAATGGCATAGATCATAAAAATGAAGATCCCGAGTCCCATCAAGATAAAATGCTGACAAATGGAAGTGGCACTGAAAAAAAAGAGGAACCAGGAGAAACTGGATCACCTTCTGTGCTTGACCTTTTTCGCTATCCAAATCTTAGAAAAAAGTCCTTGAATATATTCTTTAACTGGTAAGTTAAGAGGTACTATTCTTGAATTGTTTGTATGGACAGCAAGTGTTGTCATTTATGTGTTTTTCGATAGAGTTCTTGTTATGATCCTCTCCATGTTTGTTGTAGGTTTGTCAATAGTGCTACCTACTATGGATTATCCTGGAATACATCAAACCTTGGAGGAAATGATTTCCTGAATTTCCTTATTTCTGGAGTAGTTGAAATCCCTGGCTATGTCATGCTTTTATTATTACTGAACCGTTGGGGACGAAAAGCAACTCTTTGTTCTGCATTAATCATCACAGGGCTGGCTCTTCTACTAACACAAGTTGTGCCTTCAAGTAAGTTACAGAATCTTTTTTTAAATTATCACCTGGACATTGAAATGACAAAAATCAATAACAAAAAGAAGAAAAAACATCAAATGTCAAAGAAAATATATTCTACCTTTGAGTCTAAGTTCCACTTTCATGTGTGTTTGCTCTGCATTTGATTTATATGTAGCATTGTGTTGTTCTTTATATTCTTCGAGGGGATTTCTTACTGTTCGTTCAATGTTTGGATCATTTTCCTTGAAGCTGAAAATATATTTTGTGTGTACTTTCCCACTAGACACAAACTGGCTGATAATTACACTAGCTATGATTGGTAAAATGACAATTACTGCATCTTATGGCACCATATATATATTCACTGCTGAGCAATTCCCCACTGTCATTCGAAATGTTGGATTGGGAGCTGCATCCACATCAGCTCGAGTAGGAGGAGTGTTAGCACCATACTTTAATCTACTGGTGAGTAAAACTGTAAGGGACACAAATATTTTTCTCAGTTAATTGTGATAACTTAACTAACTTCCCTCTTTCTAGGCTGATTATTGGCGCCCCCTACCCCTTGTTATCTTTGGTACTTTGGCCTTATCAGCTGGAAGTCTAGCTTTGTTGCTTCCAGAAACATTAAATAAGAAACTGCCAGAAACCATACAGGATGGAGAAGAGTTTGGAAAGTAAGTAACCTAAACTATATCAAAATTGTTCCCATGGAAGGAACCAGTTCTCTTGACAACAATGTACAAACTTGTTCTGTAACCTACAAGGATCTCACTAATTTTAGATAATTGACCTGCTTCTAATTTTCAGGAAAGCAAAGAAGATGAAAAGTCCAAAACAGTCCTTATCTGACGCATAATATATTTTATTAATTTTTGTTTCTCCAAAATTTGTCAAAAACTTTTTAAAAGAAATTTTCTACGTTTCATAAGTTTTGCACATTATTTAAAACTGTCCTGACAGTGTTGCTCTTCTTTTGAGGTAGTACAGGAAGTACACAGAAGACTGTTTTTATTAATGACAAGACAAGTCCATTGGACTATGTAGTTGAAACTTAATATTGTGTGACTAATAGAGTGACAAACTCCAGTTTTTGGCCACTATGTGGCTGTGGAATACTCTTATGTTCCCTGTGGCACTGTATGCAGCATATGATAACAAATTACCTTTCAATATAGGTATACTGCTTGTAAATTGACAAGTGCTCCCATTAGATGGAATTCTGCACGTACCCACATGTCATGAGTTTCAGTAAGATTTTATGTACATGTTTGCGTATGAAAAGTAATTGGGTGATTTGAATTACTGTATAAGCCCTGTGGTTCATTGCTGTGTACTCTAGAATTAGAAGAGTGTGATGTCTATTATTTTTGAGTGTATGGAAACCATGTGAAACAGTGTGCCAAGTGGAAAAAGTGCATTAGTTCTCTCAGCGTGAATCCAACATGTTTGAAATTTGTACGTGACTTCTGTGGCACACTTTTCAGAATGAAAATGATGCTGCTAACTTTTTTCTAGATTAGACACAATAGATCTCACTTTGAACTATCGTAACAAGTAATATACACTAACTACTTAATACGTTCGAATAATGCTAATATGCCAAAGAAATTCTATAAATGTTACCTGATGTACCTTCATTTCTGTTGCAATTGGAGAGAAATAGTAACCCGTCGTCTTACAACTAAAATTATTCAATTTGCAAAGTTGATGTATTTTATGATGTTTATTTATTTATTTGTAGAGTCATAGGACAGTAACTTCCATTGACCGATGCAGTTAATGCTCCACTGCTTTTTCAGAGGTTTACATCATGCATTGTACTTACTCATGACAATAATATTAGGTTCTTATACAGATGTTTGCTCAGGTTTTTCTATTACTTAAACATTAAAGTACTGGTACATGAAAATTTCTAATTACCTAAATTGAATTTGTCTAACATTACTTTGTAATTTGGACCATTTTACAACTTGCACGGGGTGTATCAGAGCAAACCCCCCAGTGTTGCAGGTTTGTCTACTCTCCCTGCCCATAAGGCACCCTTGCCCCGGGAGCCCAATAGAGAAGGCAACGCTCCGCAACACGTTTTGGCTCTGATACACCTAGTACATACATAGGTAAGGCTATTTGCTGAGGCAAATTTTTGTGTTGTGCCTGTTAAGTCCCTTGTAATAAATTCGAATTTCTGTTAATGCTGAAAAACAGAAAATGGAAGAATCTCTAATAAAAAGAAAAGAATAAAATTGTATCTGAATCTGTGTAAAAAGGATAGAATAAAATTGTATCTGAAACTGTGTAAGTGTAAATTAGGTATGAAACACAGTACCATTAACCTAATGGCAAGAATGGTGTTTCTTGATTCACCATAAGGTGGTTTAGTGGGAAAATTTTCTGGTCATTGTCAATGACTCATCTTATAATCATTACAAAGAGAATAAAGAAAGAAACCCCCAGCAACATACTAAAAGCAAAGTTAAAGATTTAGGGATGTAAAATAAAAATTGGAACTTAGTAGCTAAGGGAGATTTAGGCCAAAGAGCTTAAAGAGGATTGTGTACAACAAACATTCCTTTTGATGAAGGTGTATTAGAAATATTACCGAGTAGGAAAAATACTAGTCTGTAAAAAGCACATCATCCAACTTAAAAATAAATTGGTTTGGAGCAGTTTCAGATTGTTTTGCACAAGGACACACAATGTACATTACACATGAAGCAAAAAGTCATCTCTGACTGAGGTTGTTGGTGGAGCAGTACAAATGTCACAGAAAAGCACTTACCAAACAAAGACTCCTATATCCATGGTGAGCCTATTTCTTTTTCTTTGGTACTGGTTGCACATTTTCTTCTAGGATTTTGGGAACCAAGGCTAACAATTCTTCAGCTTCTGGTTTGTAATCGTTATCAGCCCAGTAATTTTTTAGTTCTGACACAACTACAGACATTTGTCTCGCTGGAAAGGAAAAGATAAAAAAAATTATTACAGAGAGTTAATTAATAATTTATAATACAATAATTAATCTTATGATAGAATGCAAGAAACCAACAAAACATTTACCATTTGGAACATGGAATTTCAAGTCACTGCCAGTGACTGGCAACCGTGGCATTTCCCATTGCTTTATTTCTTCAGCCAGTTCTGAACGGCCATCATACAACAAAACTTCAACACACCATTGACGCACGTCTGACACCTTAAACTTTGTGTTTAACATTAACTTCTGAAAGCGCCTGGTAAAGTAAGGAAAAGTTAATAAGCAATTAATAATTACAATTAAAGAAATAAAATACAATTTAATGTTTTTAATTACTTACAACAATGGTTTTATGTCACAATTTTCGGCTCGATGTTCTACAATAAAATAGGCTAGTTCTCTTTCAAATGTGGACATTTTCAGACGCGCATTTAGTGTCAGGGCCTAGATTCATTGAGCACAATTGACAAATTTGAGTAACTACAAGAGTTTATATGACAGAAAAACCTCTTTCTAAAATTACAGCTTCAGTAATTTGAAACAAAATTTAATCCCAATATAAGTACCTCTTTCAAATCATTAATGCATGCTGATAAGTATGTAACTGGATTAAGTACAGTACCTCTTGTCCTTTCAATTAATGACAAAAGTTCTTTTCTATTAGGTTCTTCAGGAAGACCTGATGAAATATGAAGAGGGGTTAATGCTCATACTCTAACCATCTCCTGCTAAAATCTGATAAAATGTCACATTAAATGCACACCTAAATGAGGACCCAAACCAATCGATAACATTTTATCAAATATGAGTGGTCCATGGTTTCCTGAGAGGATGAGACGCAGCTCAGACCAGATGCGTTCCCCTGCTATCCTATCTAAGCCACTGGCATTGGCTTTAATGACATTAATAGTTTCAGAATCATAATTATTTGGATCAGTTGAAATTCTTCCAAAAAATCTGTAAATGGATTTCAAAAAGAGAAATAAAGTAAGAGTAAAATTTCTGGAATTTATAGATTGATTTCTTAGAGGTACAGTATAAAAACCTAAAGAAACGAAGAATACGAAGATAATCCTCCCTTATCCGATCCTCTGCATGCCCTACAAAAACAACTCTTCTCTTTACAAGATCGTCATACCCATGGAAGTAGTCATACACAGTACCATCAAGATCTAGAGAAAATAGCTTCCATTAAAAAAGAGACAGCACAAAAGAAAACAGAAATAAACAAAATAAATTTAAAAAAAGAAATAAAGTAGAACAAACCTAGGAACATAGAATTGATAGTCAGATCTCTTCGGTTCGCATCTAAACGCCAGTCCTTGGTAAATTGTACTTTGGCATGTCTCCCATCAGTTTCAATATCTATTCTCAATGTTGTAATCTATGATTGGCAAAAATATTGTTTACATTAAATTAACAAGTTCAAAGAGAGACACAATCAAATCAGGAAGTGATGAACTTACTTCAAAATTTTGAGAGTCATTGATACGTGCTGTGATAGTACCATGAGCCTCTCCTTTGGGATTTATCATACGGATTCCTTCATTGTTTAACATTTCTTTCATTTCATCTGGAGTGGCCACAGTAGCAAAATCGAGATCCTTGGGCTGTTTACCCATAAGAAGATCTCTGTAAATGGGAGGGTTAAAAAATTTAAATGTTGTCTATAATAACAACTCATGGTATGAAGAAAAAGTCGTCACCTGACAGCACCCCCAGCAATTCGTATCTCATAATTGTTCTTGCGGAATATGTTTGCTAGAGTTTCGAGCTCAGGTGTAAACACCGCTTTAAACTCTTTACTATCCAGTTTCATAATAATTGGATTATCACGGACTTTAAAGATGTGTTTTGACAAACTTGAAGAGAGTCTTCCTCCGAGGCCAAGGCAATTCTGAAATAAAGCTGAATGAGTGAACAGAGTGAAGTCTTTAAAAACAGCTACAAAACCTGGTCACACACTCTTTAGAGACAAATAAGTAATTATGAGAACTATTTTCTGTTAATGACTTGGAAGTCTCACACTTCTCTATCCATGACACCATGGTCACACAATCTTTAGTGTGTGGCATTTCCGGCACGCACTTTCAAGTGTTTGAATGTCACACCTATTTGAGGAGTAATAGGGCTAATACTTTAATTATGGCCAAAACAAATATCAAAAGTTATTTTTCTCAGATAAAATAAAATTTTATGAACATCAAGATGAGATAACCCTAACCGACCGGTCCTAATCGACAAGAAAATACAAAATAAAACACACTTACAATAGCGGACTTAGAGGATCCAACAACGCAGCAAGCAATAAAGAACCGCGATAAACAATACATGCCCGCTGTCACTTCTTTCACATGAAAAGTTATGATGAATGTTGTGCATATGACGGTCAAAGACAATAAACGTTGTTAAATTGGGGCCCGTGTGTTTATCCTGAAGTGCCAACCTACCCTTTGAAAAACCATAGCATAGAAAAATTATGTGGTGACGTCATTTTCAATTTAATGGAGAGAAGGTAGCTTTCAGAAATATAACTGTACGTACCTATTCATCCGTTAACTAAATTTGAAGATCTGATTTTCTTGAAACAGGTTAACCGTAGCGGCTTTAGCTCGGCCGTTGCATTGCCGTCCAAGTTGCAAATAAACGGCATCGCCCACCGCCCATCGGCTTTTATTCGGCACATTCGGCAATTATTCTATTTCTACTCAGTTGAAGCTCTAGGATTGTAGCTCCGACGAAAGACGCTTTTGTTTGTTGATTCACTTTCCCAAGAAACGAAAGGAAGGAATGAATCACAATGACCATAACCACGAGAGAACTATGAGGTAAACAGCCGACTGCTAAAATGCAATGTTCCAAGTACTTTACAACTCAGAAGTAATTGAACAGAAATTATCTTTGTTTTTAGGGCAGGTTACAAGACACTTAACTGAAAGTTTATCAGAAAATTTATTGGAGACATTTCATTGTACATGTAAGAATAATATTATGGCTCTTTTTATTAACCTTCTAATGTTTGTTTTGCTACTGTATTGTTTGCTTTATTGCAGGTACCATCATGTTCTTCAAACAGCAGGATGATGCCTATAGCATCAGAGTTATCAAGTTTTACTGTGGGTCAACTTGTCTTTATTTTCCTCTCTTAACAATAATAATTTTATGTACCGATCTCATGTATGCCACTGGCAGCTTCACTTTCTTACCAATCTTGGGATTGATTGGGTTGTGTGAATGTTTAAAATGTATTTTCTTGAACACTTACTACAAGGAAACTGAAAAGCATTTTGTACGAAATGCACAAAAATCCAATTTAAGTCCTGTTAAAAAATGGATCTCAGAAAAAAAACTGAAGGATATCGGAAAGAGTTTAGTGCTATTAGCGTTAATAACAGTTGCATATTTCATTATAGCCATTTTATTTGGAGCGGAATTTTTACACAAGAATGAGGAAACCTTTATGTTGAGCCTAATGCTGATGATATTGACTGCCCTACCCCCATGCCTTCATTTGGGACCAAATTATGCCCTAGCAGCAGTTCTGGGAGATGAAAAAGCTTCGTTGTACCCTCTGAGCTCAGTCCTTCAGCATGTTGTTCGGGTTACCCTTTTGGGGGCTTGGTTAGGGGCTTTTGTAATCCCTCTAGACTGGGACAGGCCTTGGCAAGAATGGCCTGTGCCTTGTTGTGTAGGGGCTCTTATGGGATATGTTGCTGCCCATGCCACTGCAATGATACAGGTTGCAATTCCACGCTGCATAACTAGTAGGATAACCACTAAGTTACAGTAACTACAGTGCGTAGCCGGATCTTTTGCTGCATTGCTCCCCTTGCTCTTCTCTCTGTTCATTACATAGTTTTGTATTTTAGGATTCTAGTCAGTAGCTAAAGACAATAAAAATTACCATAAAATTTGTTTGATATTTTTTATTATCACAGACTTGCATGATTTTTAAGGATAGAGATTTGAGAGAAGCTTCAGATTTCTTTTGTCGGCATCCCAAGCAATCAATTTGCACTACCACTACTCAGAAATTGAAAGGTTAAAACCTTTTCCTAAGATTACAAAAAACAATAACAAGAAAAATCTTTTCTTTCAAAGTGTAGCTGTAAATGAAGAACCCCTATGGTCACATTTACGGTCACATCCACTCACCTCAGCTCTAAAAACTTTGGTTGATAAAAATTGATTTACAAGAATTCTATATCTAGTGAAATGTTCACTAGAAAAAGAAAATTATTAAGTAATACAACTCCTGCCTCCTGGAACTACTTAAATTTTGCAAACAGCTTCCACCATTCATTTTCTCACTAACACAGGATTCTGCAAGAAGTCATTCCACAAGATTCCACCCAGAATTCAAATGAGTACCTAGCAGCAATATTAAAAAATAAAAAATTGATGAAAAATGAAAGGAACGACATTAAGTTTCCTCCATGTGGTCCCATACAAAAACAGAAAAACAAAAAGGGGGGAGGGGGGGATTTAAAGCTAGAGAACCTATTTCTGTATGAGTTACAGAAAACTAGATAGGGTAATAAAAAATTGTGAACATAATGCAGTAAGTTAGCAATTTAATGGTAACACTTCCTTCCACCAATTTTCTGGATAGTGATACTTTAAAATTTCAAGGCTTTCCCAAGGAACTGGTAGTTCTTTCCAGCCAAATGGTTTCATAGGGAGAGGCTTGCGTAAGAGACGAATAGGAAAGCACTCAAGTGATTTCGAATCCTCACAGTTAGGAGGAAGCATTCGACGTTTCCACCCAACTCTTCGCATTACATCTAGCTAAAATGAAGTAAAGGAATTTATTTCTTGTAAAATGGTGTATGTTTAATAAGTAAATACTTAATTTAGAACTTACCTTCAGGTCTTCTTCAAACACTATCAATTGTATTTGAGCTCCCTTCTGAAAGGCATCATCTGTGACTGAGTATAAACCCTCAGCAGAATCATACACAAGGGTCAAGTTATGTTTCCTAAAAACTCTATCAATAAAGTTTTCGTCAAATGCTGATATTTCTTTGTTATTGACACAAAACTCTGCATTGGTCTCCCATGGAAGAGTACTGGATCTTCGTACTTGACCCCAAAGCGCTCCATAACAAAGACAATGGGTTAAGGTCATAATATCCAAAACTTTATGAACTCTGCAAATCAACACAAAAGGGAAAGATTAGAAAGGTAGTAATACTAGTTAAATTAATTCATTTAAGACATTAAAAACATAATTAACATATATGTTACATTTACCTGTATGACAGATTCAAGAGATTGTTTTGAAATGTCAGAGGTAGTTCACATGTTTTGGTAAATTGAGGATTGTTCTGGCTTACCAAGTACCAAAGGATAAGGAAAGTCACGAAGAAGATGACAACATAGACTGCCCGGCTGAGCCTGAAGCGCATGCTGACACCTGTCAAAATAATAGTCACAGCACTAAAAACTACATTACTGCAGAGTTAGAAAGGCTATCCAACCAACTTACCACTGTTTTAATACACATGATCCATAATCAAACATGGGGCAGGGAGAGGGGGCGTCACAGACTGTCAAGGGTTGACAAAGAATTACGTTTGGAGAACATATTCCCAACTTTTGACACTGGCTAGCAAATGATGTGCTGAATAGAAAAGGCGTGTATTGGACTATCTCCCTCCAGTATGCAGACGGTCACAAAGATCAATAATGAATCGTGTGACGGCTGAATGTGACTTCAAATGAATGGTTCTGTTTACTTTCTATTTGATTGTTTCCTGCTTCCTGCCTGCGAATAGTGTTTGTTCTGCAAGTACCTACGAGTACATGAAAAATTTATGACTGCGCTAGTTGAAATTTTAAACTCTGAGGGTAACTAAAAACATTAATCTTTGGTAAGTTTTTTTCAAAGAGAAATAAAGTGTATTTCAATTTTCAGTTTAATTATTTGAGTGAAGGTGAACAAGACTTTTCTCTATAAAAGTTCAGCAATCTACAATTTTTAGATTAAATTTGGCATGTATATTTCTCATCTCACTGCCAAGGTGGCATGACGTCACTTCTTGTGCCCCCTCTTACGATCAAATTGTTCGTCAGCCAACCCAGCCGTCACAAGGAGGTGGACAGGGACTGGTAGCCATTATCTCTCTGAGGTAGTCTGTTTTCTGTTTTTAACCAAGACAATAGAGATTGTTCGACGCTCAAGCCACACATCCGTCACACTCTCCGCAGCGTCGCTTCTCCAGCCAGTCGTTAAAAATGAATCCCGAATAGTAAGTATTGCTCGTAGTGTAACGCCCGAACCAGAGACGTTGGCTTCGTGAGCCTATTTCGCTTCGAATCGTACAAGGTCAGTAGACCTCCTTCTCCGACGTCGTATGAATTGCTGACGGATTATAACTTGAACACATCCGTAATCCCACATCGTTCAGGTTCTAGACCCTCGTTTTTGAAACCCTGGAAGAAGTTTTGAGGTTGGGTCACTGTATCGGCCTTGTCATGTCGATGACAGCAGTTTCAGCCAGCCCGTTTCCCTGCTTTCAACTTTTTTTTTGACATAGTTCTGTTATCGCTTATTTAAATGCGTCACACGTCACCTCCCCATCTTCCAACGGAGAACAAAGAATTATCATGGAAGAAAGGGGGGAAAATCGATTGTTCGTCTGCGATGTTGACGATTTGTCCATTGCGCGGCGATGATGACTAATGTCTTTGAGATCTAACCTAAACTGACTAAAATAAAACAATAATCTGAACGTGCATCTGTATTGCATATCCTTGTAACATCAAGATTTGGAGAGGAATTTGCACTTAATTAACTTGAGTCATTAAAAAGTATTTGTTGTTTACTAGTCAGGTTTACTCAAAGCCAACTGACAACAAAGACTGACACTTCAGAAGGAAGTAATATTTCTGATTGTTCACTTAATACCTGTCAACAATGATATGCACCCGTCAAACTTAGTTTTCTGTAACATTCAATTCACACCACTTGTATTTTTCTTCAATCCTTCATATTCTGACAATTTTAAATCTGTTTCAGTGATTACCTGTTTAAACTCCTGCTGATTGGTGATTCCGGAGTGGGAAAATCTTGTTTACTTCTTCGATTTGCTGTAAGTTTGACTGATGTTATTTTGAATTGAAGGCTGTGTGGGGCACATCTTATTGGATATTGTCTTACTTTTACAGGATGACACATACACTGAGAGTTACATCAGTACCATTGGTGTTGACTTCGTAAGTAGTGAAAATTTAACCATTGTCATTATTATTGTTTAAATTAATAATGGATTGCCAAACAGTTCCTAAGCTGGTGATGAAAATTGTTTCTATCCTGCTATGAAGTTAATTATGTTTTCCATTTGTTCAGAAAATCAGAACTATTGACCTGGAAGGCAAAACGATAAAGCTGCAAATTGTAAGTTTTCTTCTAAAAGAACATCAGCCATTACCCAGTAGAGGAGTGTATTAATGTTTATCTTTGCTTCCAGTGGGACACAGCTGGTCAAGAAAGATTCCGTACTATCACGTCAAGTTATTACAGAGGAGCTCATGGCATTATTGTGGTTTATGACTGCACCGATCAAGAGTCATTTAACAATGTGAAGCAGTGGCTGGAAGAAATCGACCGTTATGCATGTGATAATGTAAACAAACTTCTTGTAGGCAACAAATGTGATCTTACAAACAAGAAAGTCATTGAATACAATGTAGCCAAGGTACACATTGTTTTCTATTTTTTGGATGATACTTCGCCTTGATTGTCATTTGTAGTTCATTGACCTTTTCTCTTGCAGGAGTATGCAGACCAACTGGGCATTCCATTCTTAGAGACATCAGCTAAGAATGCAACCAATGTGGAGCAGGCATTCATGACAATGGCAGCAGAAATCAAGAATCGTGTGGGTCCAACATCATCTGCTGCTGACACCGCCAATAAAGTGAAAATTGATCAGGGTCGGCCTATTGAGTCCACCAAATCTGGATGTTGCTGAAGACAGCATTCATCTTGTGAGTTCACTTAACTTGCTGTACTCTTTAAAGTATATTCTGGGGGTTTTGAACACCTTTTCCAAGCTTAGGTATGCCACTGTCAGCTTACTAATTTGTTTGTAAATGTGTTTCAGAATTTAAAGGACTGGGACCGTTTCCTGAAGATAGTGTCAATTTTGCTGAAACACATTGAAAGCAGATACTGGCTTCATTCAATACTTCGTACAAGTAACAAGTGTGTTTGTGGAGATGTGCAGTTTTGTGGTGGTTTATGGTTTGATAGTGAGTGAACAGTGGCTTCAAGTGTTTTCTTTTTAGTAGGATTGATACTATAATTTGTAATGAGTTGCACCTATTTCCCCTCCCCCAATTTTTAGATTTAGTTTCCTGTATATTTGTTTTGAGTAAACATACTGGTGTGTGCTTTGTCTGTTCAACTTTATGACATGAGATTTAAGCATAAAATTTACCTGTTTGGAGTAAACTGTATTTTAAGGAGAATTTTGCAATGTCTGTAAAATAATATATAAATAGTATAAATATATATATGTGTTTTCTAATACTATATCCGTTCTCCAATCATTCGGTTGTAGGTCTAGATTTGGTTACATTGGGGTATAACAAAGCAATTGATTTTTGCACGCTTTTGCTTGTGATAAATTTCTGTAACATATAAAAGAATGTTTTAATGTGAGTTAGTTCTCTGTACGGCATCCAATTATAATGATTTGGATAATTTGCATCTCTTACAAACATAAAATTGTCATTCCATCAGCGGGTGCTGAATCTGAAATGTTCTTTTTCTCAATAAGGTACGGTTTATGATATTTGTTGCTCAGTGCTTTTACTGTTAAAAAAAATGGTCCTTGATCTTTCAACAACATATTTTATTAATATTGCTACTGAAATTGCCTCAGTAAGATTTACCTCCTTGATTGTATTGCTTGTATTGTTACCATTAATGGTCAATGATTTGGAGAAAATGGAGCAATGATGGAGAATATTGTCAAAGTTGTGTCTGGTCGGTTAGTGGGACACATGTGTCAGCTTTGTGCTGAGCACAACTGTTTTGGCTATTCTCTCTGAAGAGCTTCCAGCTATCTAGGGAATCTTTGCATATTTTTTACTCACCAAATATCAATGAGTATTTAGAAAGTGAACATTTTATGTGATTTGAATAAAAAAAATAATAAGGAACTCTCTTGTCTTGTTGTCAGAGTAGGATGTCCAATGTACATTTAATACAAATTTTTTACACATGCAAGATAGCCTTATATTTGTACTAACTACCTTTACTGCTGAAGATGAATGTCTGGACACAAATTGAATAAGTACTGACACTTTGACTGAAATAAAAAAGAAAACTAGTGTCTAAGTTTAGAACACACAAGCTCGTTTTCTCAGTTTCCATGCTCACCTGTGAAATACATGTTCTTCCATAAAGATCTTGGATATGATTCAATCCTACCAGCAAAATAATTTGGTAACTTTTAAAAAGTTGTAAAAGGAGAAGAAGTGTGCATGGCATGGCTTTATGATTATAATTTGATAGTTGGTCAAAACAATGACTTCAACATCGCAGTCCTGCAACAATCCTTCAAATGGGAACATTGATAGAGAAAGAAGTAAGTACGTACTTCAGTCTGATACAAAATAAGACAAACATGCACAAAATCACAAGAGTTAAGTATAAATACAGTAGACACATTTTATATCTAAATACTGAGTAAATGCTTTTTACCTCAAACCCTATATCAGTCTGAAACCCTTCAAAGTCTTCTCACAGTCCTCTACAACAGGACAGCTTCATTAATCCTAACTGCAAATTTCTTAAGGAGTTTGTGCAATGAGTTAGAAACTGGTTTTAAACATATTTTAAAGACGCTACTAATATCACAGTCCTCCCTGTCCAGTGTCCATGAAAGGTTTAAAATAAAGGGGGCAAAAAAAGCACGACTTAAAACGCTGACTGCTTTCCAACGTTCAATGGTAGATTGATAATCTTATATTGTTCGGGAGACGGGGAGTTGCACACGGAAGTAAATGCGCCATTTCATTTAACTAGACTCTAGTCCGAGGATCGAGAGAGAAAGGGGAAGGAATGTTACAATGCTTCAGGGGGCAAAATCCCAGAGAGAAATTGTAGTTGAATCGACATCGAAATGTCATCGAACCTGTGTCAAAATGGTAGAAACGACGTCGAAACGTAATCGTTTTGATATGAATTTGTCACTGGCTGGCTGTCGAACCGACGCGACAACGCACCTGAAACGCACAGTGGTCCCATGACTCCCCCCTTTTGAGCAAAAAGTCCTTTCCGTTCATAATAATTTGCCTTCGATTCACTTCAAACTTTCAATGTGGTGTATTATCGTGGTAAATATTGCATTTGTATGAAACTCAAACAACGCCCCGCCCCCCCCCCTCCCCCCCACTCACACACAATGAGGGAAGTCCCCGTATCGGCTTCCTTGTTATTCTAAATTTTACCAAGACCTAATTCTGTTTTGATCCTTTACAGGATGTTAATTTGCGCAATTCCACGGTGTTCCCCACACTCCAAAGAATATGTTTTGTCGACGGACGCAGTGCTGAGGCCTTTTAATGTATTGAAGCGAGAGAAAAAAAAAAGTCACAAGGATACTCTTTTATAAAATTAATTTTTCACACAGTTTCAGCTCTAAACTGTCTTACGAGCAGCTACTGTAAGTCCAACCAGTATTTTATCTTAATGGAATGGACTAAATTTCTACTTTTTCTTTCTTGCTGATGCAGCTCCGGAAAGGAAGGCCACGGATGAAAACCCTCTTAAGGGCAGTTCCTTTGGACAGTGTTGAACAAATCCTGTTGACGCATGACCCTCTCCCGTCACCTGACACCTTTTCCCCTTAAAGTAAGTAGGTTCGCGGGACGCGGGACCACTGTGCAATGCCACAACACAGCTGAAATCAAGAACGAGAATGTAGTATTTTAAAAGCCTATACAGAGGCGCAGCTTGTGTTTGAGGTTCTGAACAGTTTTATATTACAAGGGACAGTGGATCCCCCAACCCCCTCACTGATAAATAAAGTGCTCAACTGGCATGCACATGCAAGTGCTCAACACTATGTTGGACACTTTTAAGTGTTCGACTGGATATTTGAATACTTCAAAGTATTTAGCAGTATTATTTATCAGTGCTCCCTTTGTTTGGCACAATACAAACCAATTTGGCAGCAAAAAATACACAATATAATTTCTGTTACATTGCACAAACTCGTAAAGAAACAATGCTTTTTGGAATATCGCCTTGAACTTCCCATCTTTTCCACAGAAGACGCCACTCGAGCAAAAACAGAGCCAGGCCAGGACGAACCCTCGACGAAACCCAATGTGACACCCAATCACAGAAAAGGCGGGAGTTCGGCAATTCATGGTCGCACCAAACTTAAACAACGGCCCGCCATGTTCCATTGCCGATCGGGTGTCGAGTGTCTTGCTCCGCTAGCCGATAGCTCTTCCAGCTCAGCCTCTCTTCCTCTGCTCCTGGCCCCTCAGTCTGCCGCGCCGCACTCTCACTGCTGCAGACGGTAGCGTCCCGCCCCGCCTCTCGGCCCGCGCCACCCCCGCGGCACGGCGCTCTCGCTCACTGAATACTGATAGGATACTGCCACCCCTGTGGGCCTCGCGTGGCCTCGCGTCACACACCTCCAGCCCCTGAGTCTCTAACTCGAAAGCCTCCAGCACTCGCACGGCTCTACACCGACGAGTTGACGACAACGATGTTGAGGTTCTGGATGTTGTTCTGCTGGCGATGCTTGAGGGAGGACAGTGTGGACACGGGGTTGGTGAGCGTGTCGGTGACGCTGGACGAGTCGGTGGCGCTGTACAGGTACCGGAAGCAGCGGCCGCGGGAGGGCTCCTGGCGGCGGCCCGAGGGCACCCCGCAGCAGCACAGCAGCCACGCCAGCGGCGGCACCCGCCTGCAGACAAAGGGGCATCAGCCATGCAAATCTATGCACATCCGTAATTAAGTGCAAAACGTCCTGAGATTATTAAAAGTCACTTTTCTTTAATGATCACGTAAGCACTTTTGGAGGGGTCAGTAGTTTTATGCAGCTTTATGCGTGTCCATTGACAAATAAATAATCAAAAGTTTCGAAAAAAAAAACCTGTGTGCAAGAGGAGAAGAAATATATGCACACTTCATTTTGAGTTTGAATTTACACTCCACTCCCGGCACCTTTTTTGAGTTTGGTTTCCGATCAGTCCACAGATAGTTAAAGTTAGGAACACTTTTGAGCATAGTGCATTTATTTAGCTGTCTGTCATGGTGCGCGCCTCTAGCGCCTTACGGCAGCAGGGTAGGCCACGCCACACGACATGCGAGTGTTGCGGGCGGGCCTACCCGGCAGGGGCTCTGCTGCGACGAGCTCCGCCCAAGCGCACTGCAACTGTTCAGTAGTTTGTGTCAGGATCTGCGGTCACCCTTGGGTACTGCACAGCCGCATCTCATCTAGGTCAGTGGGTCCCCCTTCCTCCGGACCCCCTTCGGGACCTCCTCGGACCCCCCTCGAGCCCCACCTGAGGCTGCGGCAGATGTGCGTGGAGAAGACGCAGTAGATGAGAGGATTCGCCGCCGAGTTGAGCGGCGCCAGGCTCTGCACGAAGGAGGCCAGCGCGATGTTGGTCTGCGTCTCGGGCACGTAGCCAAACACTTGCAGCAGGTCGAAGAGGATGTACGGGCTCCAGCACAGGATGAACACTGCGTCACACACAGACGACTCGTAATACGCACACCAGAAACCAACGCTCATTCAGGTTGGTTAAAATGGAATTTCACCATACGCACGTCGATCGGTTGAGTTCAGAATGTAACGTACACGCATGACATTAATGAAGATTCCGGTAAATTCACATAACGAAGTCTACAGTAACGTTTCACCAGCAGCGCCACTCACCAAAAACGATGCCGAATGTCATCTTGACCGTCTTGATCTTGGCGCGGGGGATGATGCCCCTGGAGGAGGCTCTCCGGCTGTCAGCCTCCGCGTCAGAAGCGTCACCGTCTGCAACACGGCGCGTGGAGGTGAGCCCCACTGGCATGTGCTGCTGCGCACCTGCGCACCGGGCCCAGCTGAGAGCCCAGGGAGGCTGCTAACGCGCAGGGATTGGGCCCGGCACGCAGGTGAGCGGTCTCGTCGCGTTTCAACGGCTAGGGCTTAAAGAACGCACTAGAAATACAAGTGCACAAATATCGCAACACCTGCAGTGTGCAACAGAATTTTCACACACCTGTACATGTGGCAATGAGCATTCACACACTTGAGAACGGGTGACTTGGCTACCTGTTTTAAGTGCGAGAATCTCCTTTCGCTCACATAGAACTGTGCAAATATTTTCTCGCACACCCGCAGGTGTGTAAATATTTTTTCACGCACCTGCAGGTGTGCGACATTTGTACACTTTGATTTCCAGGGCACGGGGGCACCCGTGAGCCTGACGCCTCGCGTCGCGCTGCACTCCCAATGCCCATCACTCACTCTGGAACCTCCGCGGCGGCACGAGCAGGCGGCTCTTGCTCCAGATGGTGATGACGATGACGAGGTAGCAGGCCGAGATGATGAGCGCCGGCGCCAGGAACAGCTTGACGCTCACCAGCGTCATGTACACCTGCCACTGCCACTGCTTGTCGAAGTGGATCCAGCACTGCAGGCGGCCTGTAGGGCCGGGTGAAGCAGAGGCTCAAAGTCAGTCAGAGGAGAAGCCGAGGGGATGGGAAAGGAGAGGGGAGATGAGTCTTGCTTACCCTGGATGAGCTTCTCCTCGTAGAAGATGATGATGGGGAGGGAGAAGATGATGGACAGCAGCCAGGCCGTGGCGATGAGGATCCGCGCGCGCCGCCCTGTGGCAGAAAGGAGTCAGGGTAGGTGCCACCCCGCGGCCCAGCCCCCACGCCCGCTGCGGCTGCGGTGTACTCGCCTCAGCTCCCCGAATAAGGTGCACTTAGCGCTTTTTACGTGTCATGCGCCGGCGAGCTAGCTGAGCAGCCTGGACGCGTACAGCGGGCGAGGGGGAAATCACTTAGGTTTGCAGCGTACGGACTATTTCGTGCAATTTCTCCCGCCATTTCGGTTATTTCTCTTGCCTGTTCGGTTATTCCTCGCCTTTTTTGATTATTTTAGGGTATTTTGCGGAATTTCACATGAATTTCAGGGGTATTCCGCGACTATTTCACCGATTATTTCGCGTCTATTTCGGGTCTATTTCGCTGTATTTTGCCTTCATTTCATCTTTGTTTGGGACTCTTTCGGGGGAAGGTGTACGAACTATTTCGCAAGTGATTTCCCCCTCGACAGCGGGGGCGGCACGTTTGACAGCGTGCCGTGTTTGTCTCTCACGAGAGCGAGGCCGCGTCACGGCCAGGGCGATACTCACAGCTGCCGGAGAAGTTCATGGGGTGGGTGATGGCGTCGTAGCGGTCGATGCTGAGCGCCACCAGGACGTAGGTGGACGAGTAGGTGACGACGCACTGCAGGAACTTGATGATTTTGCAGGCCGCGTTGCCGGCGTTCCACTCGACCGTGATGCGCCAGACGATGTCCGTGCCCACCGAGATCAGCCCCACCGACAAGTCTGTGACGGAGAGCGTGCGGTCAGAGAGTGCCGGGGACGGGACACGAGACAGGGGCGGGAGGTCATGGGCCAAGGTGGAGTTGAGCCATGTCAGGAAGGCTCCATGTTAAAAGTGAAATCATGGGCTAGTGCAGCATTTTCATATTCTCTTCAGGCTTGTCACATGGGAAGAATGTCTCGGTTTGGGGAGGGGGGCTTACCTGCGAGTGCGAGGTGCATGATGAAGAACTTCATGCGCGACTTTCGATTCTTGCCCAGAAGAAGCGCCACTAGGACGGCGCTGTTGCCCACCACGATGAAAGTGAAGAGTACCCAAAGCAGCGTGAACTGTTCCGTCTGTAACACAAGCAAAGCTGTGCGGTTGCAAAACGACGTCTCTAAACACACACACACACTTATTTTTATTTAGAGCAGCCCGGTGGTGGTGGTGGGCCGCGGTTGTATTTGTTTTCCACAACCTGGTACCCCTGCAGGCATGCCCGCTCCGCCCCGATAAAGCTCCCTTTATCCCTGGCAGCTGGTGCCCACCCCGCCCCACCCCATGGAGACGCCGTGTTGTGTCGGCCATTGATCGCGACGGTGGGGTCGAGGGGCTTGAGCAGGGCCCGCCCCGCCCCACCCCGCCCCGCCTGAGACCCTTGCCCGCGATCCAAGCCCTTCGAGCTCAAACAAACATCCCTACGTAGGGTCGTCGGACGCGCGGGTAATAAAAGCACTGCTGCCCGACGAAAAAGGCGAAAAAAAACGCGCGTTGCGGGGAACTGCAGTTCTGGCGGTTATATCAACATTAATGCCCGGGCTAGTCTGGCTGCGTGGCGGCGGTGAGGCGGCAGGCGCGGCTAGGCGTGGCCCTGGCGGGGGCGGGCTGCGAGTGGCTAGGCGTGGCTAGGCATGGCCAGGCGTGGCTAGGAGTGGCTAGGCGTGGCGGTGGCAATGGCGGGCTGTGATCGGCTAGGTGTGGCTAGGCTATAGGCGCATGGCTAGGCGTGGCTAGGCATGGCCCAAGCAGGGGCGGTCAGCGCGTATGCCGGAGGAGGTATGCCCGGCACAGGAGCAGAGGTGAGGGAAGCATGCAGAGCGACCTGACCATGTCGAGGAATGCCATCGATCATAGGCGAGTGCGAGGAGAGGCGGCAGCGAGAGGTATCAGGGCGAGAGTGAGAGGGAGAGGCGGGG